AGTGGAGAAATTTTTGTTAGGAATCGTTTTCCCGTTAAATAGCCCCTACGCGCCACGAATATGAATTAGTCTACCGGTTCCGGATACTAGATGGTTATGCCCCACACAAAAAAAAAAAAATCTTGTACCTAATTGATCCGAAAAGAAATTTTGGGGCATTATATTTTGCTGCCTAACTTCTTTTACCAAATTGCTGCGAGTCGAGAGTTTAGGACTTTAGGGTTCATATTGGGGAATCAATCTTTCCCTAATCCACTGTTACATTTTTATTTTTTAATCCATTAGTAGGGACAAAAACTAACAACTACTGGTGAATTATTTGGATTTTATTTATAGTGATGAAATTGCATTCAGTGTTCCAGAAAGAAGAGTTTTATATAACACGTGCTTCTTTTTATTTTATATTTTTTTATTTGGAGAAAAGGTTATACATACGACGTAATATGTTATATATATCTTGAATGTGCTGTTGAAATATTCTTTAATTTCAGCCGCTGCTTAATTTGGCTTCGTTCAGCTTCCTCCTATAAAGTTTCCACACATTATTATCTTATTTGTTGTGTTTCTGTCATTGTCAAAATATAAGTATATTCATGAATCATGAACCTAGCCTTGTAAGTCAACCCCCAATTTCCCTCACTACAACTTCGTAGGCGTGTTTGGACATAAAAACTGTAATTTTTGACCCAAAAAAATAGTATTTGGAATTAAGTTAGAAAAATAATATTTGAAATTTAAAATTATATTTGGATATGCAATTTACTTGAAAAAATATTATAGTTTTGTGAGTGGGGTAATTTTTTTTTTCTGAAATTTAAAAAACTCAGTTTTGAAATTTTTTTCAAGAACTTGTAAAATTTCATGAACAAACATAATTCTGGAAAAAAAAAACGAAAAAAGGAAGAAAAAAAACTTATGAACAAACGGGTCCTTCATATGTGAGCTTCCTTCAAAATCATAAGCATTACCAGACATATACTTTTGCTTCCAAATAATATAGAGTTGTTTTGACAAATTAAATTCATTAAAAAAATTTGTTGTTCGAAAGTTATATATTTCTACTCCCTATAATACACTAGTAAACGTTATATAATATATTGATACACTTATTTATTTAAATATCATTTAATAGATAAAGGTAATTTAGATAAATTCTCTAATTAAATGATGTTATGTACAAAAGCCTTAAAAGACAAATCAATAGGAGTGTCCAAACCGAATCGGAAAATCGTACCAAACCGAAAAGTAAAACCAAACCGATTTAAAAACCTAATTAGATTTGGTTTGATATGGTTTGGTATTAAGTAAAAAAAAAACCGAACCAACCCGACATATAAATATATATTTTTTATATATAAGACTATTTATTGAACTTTCTTTAAAAAATATCAAGAAATATTTGCGATACTCTTTTGGGATGTAATAAATTTAAATATGAAGTGCTCCATATTTATTGACTTTATATAAAGGGTTGCATGATCACTTTCTTATCAAATATTAGTAAAATTCGTCAATCTCTTTGTTTTTTCATATTCATATGTCAATATCTATTAAATTCTTATATCTTTTTCGAATTTGAAATGGTATTTTTATAATTTAAAATTAAACAGAAAATATCATTATATATGTTCATATTTATTTTTATATTTAATTATGAAATTCGGTTAACCATGGAAGTATACATCGACATAAAATTATTATCAGACGATTAAAAAATAACTATCATGTGTTTTCAAGAAAATTCTTTTATAAGAATATTTTAATAGATCATATATTTGTCATTTTTTTAATTTTTACTAAATATATATTTATTTATAAAAAATTTAACAAAGTAAGGTTAAAATAATATTTATATAACAAAAAAACTTAAAAACTCCAATAAAATCGAACTAATTTTAATCGATATAGTTGATTTGATTTGATTTTAATAAAAAAATCAAACAAACCCGATTACCTACAAATCAATATATAATGTCACATCGTGGCTAGTAGTATATGAATTGACCTTGTCCCTCTATAATTTGCGGCTGTCACGTGCAATATTCGTCTCACAATTGCGCCGACGTAAAAGTAGGTACCCTTCCCTACTCTCCCTCTATAAATACAACTCCAAAAATATTACTATTTGTTATACAAATCATATTTATGTTTGTTTTACCAAGAATGGAAATAACTTCATCAATCCCTTGTTCTAAGCTTCTAAATTCTACTAGATGCTTATGGATCAATCCTCCCTCAAGTTTTCTTAGGGGTGCAGACTTTCCCCGAATTCTACGTGAATGTAGAATATTTCATGCACCCGGCTGTCCTCTCTCAAGTTTCACTAACCTAAATCATAAGTTATGGCTAGTGGTTAATGCAAGAAATAAAGATGGTAGAAGTAATATTGTGGATGAAAACATGATAGTTCTACGAATGCGTATTAAAGAAATGAACATATCATCATCAGAAGCTGGCAAATTACCTTCTAATAATTGGATGGAATGGGAGAAGAAGTATTTTTCACATTATAACGACGTCGTTTTTGAAGTTGTAAGGTTGTTGCAAATGTATTTGATGGAGACTAGGCCTGCTTTGGCTTTAGGGATGTTGACACTTCTTTCTCTTAGTGTGCCTATCTCAACTTATGTTTTGGTCCAACATGCCATGGAAATTGGAAAGAGTTTACTGTTAATGTCCCGTGTTAATTAAGATTTAGAATTAATCTTCCACTTTAAGGTTATATGTATATAGTCCTTTCTTATTTTTTTTTTCATGGAAATATTATGTGTAATTCACCAATTAATGAACATGTTGATTTTAATTTCTATAAATTAGAGCAATATTGATGGATCTCTAGTTACCTTTAGCTAGCTAAATCACTCTTCACTTATTTCCGTGGCAAGCGTTTTCCCCTCAAAAAAAGCATTAGGCGATGAAAATTTAAATTTTTTCGGTGGTTTCGGATGTATGGTTAAAAAATTGGGAAAAAAATCAGTAATAGCCTGATTTATAAATATTAATTGAAAATTAGTCACAGTTTCAAAAGTAATCGATATTTAGTTTAGTTATTTTTTCATGTAAAAATAAAATCTGAACAAAAACAACCTTAAAATCCGGAAAAGTTCTAGCATAATATGTCGGTATTTGAATTTTTTACATATGAGATTCAACATAATATGCTGAATTCCAACATAATATGCTAGAAGTTTATACGCAAGAGCTCCATAATCTAACATATTATGCTGGAACTTTTTTGTATTTCAACTAGGATATTTTTGTTCAAATTTTATTTTGGCATAAAATAGTGGTTATTTCTTAATAATTTTATAAATACTGATTATTTTTTAATTACTAGTGCAAAAACAAGTTCTTAGATCAAGAGAATTCGACAAATAATGTATATTTATAATATATGCACATACACACATGAAGAGATTCTTTTTACCTCTACTTATACCAATAATTTATCCAACCTTGTAGTTCATCCCAGCTTTTGATGGCTAGCTTGGCCTTGCTATCCATCATTCTTATCTAAATTTTCAAGGTTTTTTTTTCTCCTTATAATCTGATTTTCCATGTGTTTTTCCACTTCACCAACGTTTCCAATTTCACCTTAAATATTTTTACTGCTTCTGTTCGAAGTCTTCTTTAGATTATTAGTTTATGAGAATAATTTAGAAAGTAGCATAAGAATAGGAAATTAGAAAGGCATTATTGTTGTCAAAAGAAGGCAAAGTAATCTCTTTGTTTAAAGCAGTTATAAACTACGTTACTGTGGACATGAAACTGACATAACCAATTTTTAAATGATAGATAATAATTTCTGTTTCATTTTAGATGAGTTAGTTTAACTCAGCACGAAATTTAAGAAAAAGAAAAAGACTTTTAAAATTTGTGATTTTAAAAGCTTAAGGGTTAAAAGTTTTGTGGGACCATGACATTTGAATGGTTATAAAAGCTTCTCTCATTAAGGGTACAATAAATAAAATGAAGAATTTAAAGTTAAATTATTTCTAAATTAATAAATATGTCATTTATTTTGAAACAAACTAAAAAGAATCTAATTTTAAACGGTTGGAGTATGGCATATGAATAATGCATCATATATCTAAAAGTAAAACGTGAGATATGCTTCACCTATCTCCATAAGATATGAGGCAATACAACATCTTTAAATCACTTAAAATAGGCAGGAGATGTTCACGTGCCCACTCTTTTGGAAGAAGCAACCTTAAAATAATAAAAAAGGTTTCAGATTAATCATCGAATATGCTTCACCTACATCTATAAGATATGATATAACTGCCAACGGGAGCATATACACCTTGTCCTTTGCGGTGTCACGGAACCTCATTTTATTGAAATTTTTACTAACTATATCTAAGAAAATAAAAATATTGGAAATCTTCAAATTATAACACTACTTATGAAAAACCTTGTATATGTCACTAACTGTCCACACAAACGTCCATCCTACATCTTTCTGGAAAAGGAAAGATAGTGAAACCAAAGGTGGAATCCGATCATAATAAAAACATATAAAAGTTCTTCTCATGATCAAACGAAGCCCATAAAGTTAACAAAACAAAAAAGTATTGTTAAGACTGAGATTCGAAATAAAAATTGAAAATTCCATGGCTAGGACTAGAAAGGTTGAGAGAGAGAGAATTGAGGTTTTTCTTAAAAATAAAATGAAATATCTATTCTGTGTCTTTACAACCCATGTGGGCTTGTCTATATATATAACGCGTCCAATTGACCCAAACACTAAACTACAACTCTGCTCAATAAATACAAAGTGGGCTTCGAGACCCAATACAAAGAATGAGCAAAGAATCAAATAATGTGGCCCAATACTACTAACCATTTGCACTAATCTCAACACCCCCCACCCCCACCCCCGACAAGTTGGAAGGTGAGAGAATTCCCAACTTGTGAAGATGGACATGATGAACAGCCCCTGTCAAGGGTTTAGTAAACATATCAACAAATTGATTAGTACCGGAGGTATGACACAATTAAATCAGGCCTTCAGTGAGCTTGCCTCTGATGAAATGACAATCAAGTTCGGCATGTTTAGTGCGCTCGTGAAAAACTGGGTTCTTGACAATATGTATAGTTGCCTGATTATCACAGAAAAACTGAATTGGACTGGGAACCTGAATACCAAGATCAGAAAGAAGCCGGGAGACCCATATAATTTCAGCAGTAGCTTTGCTCATCGACCTGTATTCTGCTTCTGCAGAGGATAAGGAAACTACAGACTGCTTCTTTGATTTCCAGTCCACTAAACTTCCTCCCAACAAGATACAAAATCCAGACACAGACTTCCTACTATCTGGACAGGCCCCCCAATCATTGTCACAATCACTATTTTAAAAGGCGTTTCTGGGGTGAGCCCCGAGGCGAGGCATACCAAAAATATCCCGGGGCGATAGTGGGGCGAAAGTCTCAAGAGGCGTACGCCCCGCAATTTGGGGCGTACGTCCGGGCGTTCGAGGCGCGTTTGTTTAGTAAGGAGTAAACCCAAGAAACTTTTTCAAATTAAAATAAAATTTGTTGAATTAGTCCTTCATATAATACCCAAATTCTCAAAAGTCAGTTTGGTAATTACTCAAAATATTTAAAAAGGAACTCGAAAGTATTAAATTTAAAAGTAAAGACCTTTTTTATTGATTTAAATCCTAATTCATGATTTTTTTAATTTTTTATCTTGTCCGCTAGTCTGCTAATATCTCCCAAAAGCAACGAATATTTAATTTTTTTTACAAATACAAAGAGAACTATATTCTTCTTCATAACAGCAAATTCAAAGTTCAAATTGCAGGTTAATCATCCTTTTTGTTCCTCCATATAGAAAACTTTATTCTTTTAGACTCAAATTACTTGTGCTTGTAAGTAACGTATAATAGATTGTTTTGATTAGTTTTTTGTGGGGATGGAGCACACATATATATAGTTTTCTTTAATTTTTATGCAATTTTACCTGTTTATAAATATTTACTGTTATTATATTATTTTATAAAATATTAAAAATTAAATACCTATGGGACTTACGCCCCGTGCCTCGGGACTTATGCCCCACTGAGGCATATGTAAAATGCATCGCCTTACGCCCATGCCTTTTAATACACTGGTCACAATAGACACTCAAAGAAAAATCAGTAGAATCATTGAGAAATATATCAAAATTAGAGGTACATTTGAGGTATCTAAGTAGATGCAGAGCTTCTTACATGTGAGGAAGGCAGGGCTGCTGCATAAACTAACTTAAGTGTTGTACTGCAAAGGAGGTGTCAGGCCTAGTGTGAGTGAGAAAATTCAGCTTCCCAATCAGACATCTATAACTCTCAGGGTTAGGCAACACATCACCTTCAGTGGCCTTTAGTTTCCCATGCATCTCAAGGGGCAGACCACAAATGAACAATCAGAAGAATGGAACTCCTTGAGAAGGTCATGAATGAACTTTTTTTGATGAAATAAAACCCCATAATCAGTATGCAACACCTCAATCCCCAAGAAGTAATTGAGATTGCCTAAATCCTTAATTTTAAATTGATCATGGAGAAAAGCTTTCACAACAGATATTTTAGCTAAATCAGTCCCAGTGATGATTATATCATCCACATACACCACCAAAATGACAAAGGACTCTCCAGAACCCCAAGGAAACATAGAATAATCACTCAAGGAATGCACATAACCCCTAGAATACAAAGCATTTGACTACTTGGTATACCACTGTCTAGAAGCTTGCCTTAGTACATATAAGAATTTTTTGAGTCTGCAAACTAGAGGGGCTGAAGAAGAAGAGGAAGAAACAGACAAGCTAGGTGGAAGTTTCATGAAGACCTCCTCATTCAAATCCCCATGTAGAAAAGCATTGTTTACATCTAATTGAAACAATGGCCATTTATTTTTAACTTTCACAACAATTAAGGTTTTAACAATAGACATCTTTACAACAGGTGAAAAGGTTTCATGAAAATCTATTCCTTCAACCTGAGTGTCGCCCCTTAACACAAGTCTAGCCTTGTATCTTTTTATTGTTCCATCAGCTTTGTATTTGACCTTATACACCCATTTACAATCAATGGGCTTCTTACCCAATGGTAGCTGAACAATTTCCCAAGTTCCATTGGCCTCTAAGGTCTCAAATTCCTTTTTCATAGCATCCTGCCACTCAGGACTTGATGCTGCTTGTGAGTAAGTGTTAGGCTAAAAAACATTATGCTCATCAAAAGTAGAAACAAAAGTGGAGTTAGCAGACTTAAGTCGTTGTGAAGGAAAGTGGCAGACATAGTTTTGGAGATAGGAATGAGGGTTATGAGGTCTGGAAGACTTTCTAATCACAGAAACCGCTTTACTAGAAACAGGGAAGAAGTGGACACGGGTGACAAGGAAAGAGAAGGAGAAGGCAAGTCAGCAGTGGGGAAAACATGTGGAGAGGAATCAGGAGTTGATGGGGGTGAATCAGGAGAAGCATGGTATGATGAAGTAGGATAAAAAAAAATCAGACTAACGAGAATGGTTGAAACAAGTAGAAAAATGTATATTGCACATGGGAGAGTGCTTTGATATTTTTTGAATAAAAGGGAATATATGTTTATGAAATATAACATCTCTGGAAACAAAACAAGTTTTGTGTTTCAAATAATACAATTTGTATCCTTTCTTTGCAAAGGAATATCCTAAGAAGACACTGGGGGTAACCCTTGGTTGAAGCTTGTCTCTATGAGGTTTTGGGACAGTAAAGTAGCATAGACACCCAAAAGGTCTAATATTGGAGTAAACAGAGAGTTTGTTGTAGAGGATTTCATAGGGACTTTTGTCTTTTAACAAACTGGAAGGGAACCTATTTATCAAATAGGTGGCAATGAGAATGCAATCTCCCCAGAATCTAATGGGGGAGTCCAGACTGAAATGGAAGGGCCCTAGCAGTTTCTAAGAGATGCATGTGCTTTTTTTCTACAACCTCATTCTGCTGTGAGGTGTGAGGACATGATGTTTGATGTATGATCCCTTTCTCAGAGAAGTATGCAGAACCAACAGTGCTTGATCCTAATTCCAGAGCATTATCACTCCTTACAGTTTGAACCTTTAACTAGAAGTGTGTTTCAGTCATGGCGATGATGGCTTTTAAAAGGTCAAATGCATTACTTTTGGCACCCATTAAGTGGGTCCAAGTGGCTCTGGAGAAGTCATCTACAATGGTCAAAAAAATACTTTGATCCAGTATAAGCGGGAGAATGATAAGGACCTCAAGTATCAATGTGTATTAACTGAAAAGGTTTTATAGTTTGTATGTTGCTATCAGGGAATGGCAGTCTGGTTTGCCTTGCTAAGGGAAAAACTAGGCAAGAAAATGACTTTTTGGGAGAAAAATGTAAGGCAAGTGCAGGAATATGTTTCATTCTAGAAAATGGAATGTGCTCTAGTCTATAGTGCCAAACAACATCCATTTTATTAAAATTATTCAAGTTTGCATCAGCATGTACATGTCTCTTATTAGAACCAGTACTAGTTACATTTGCACTAATCTCAGAAGGAAAAACACATACATCATGCATAACAGAAGAAGAAATAGGAGAAGTGGGAATGACAGAAGAAGTAGCAGAGGTGGCAGAAGCAACAGGAGGCATAATAAGCTTGTAGAGATTTATGATCCAGTTTACCAAGAACCAGAGGCATCTTCAGTGAAGGGGCTTGTATAGCACAAAGAGTTCTGGTAAACAAGACAATCCCATTGAATTAATCTAACAACTTATATACATAAATTAAATTATATTTGAAAGAAGGAACATAGAGGACATGATGAATTGTGAAGTTAGGAAATAAAGTCAATGATCCGACAAGGTGAACTTTGACCTTATAACCATTAGGTAAGGATACAAGGCAAGGAATTGGTAAGGGTTGCAAGTTGAAAAGAAAATCTTTATGGGAGGTCATATGATCAGAGGCTCCAGAATCTATGATCCAAATAAAACTATCTAGTTGAGAAAGCATACAAGATTTGAGCAAAACACTCTCAGATATCAGCTTACCAGCAAAATTGGCAAAAGCCATGATATTTAGAGTTGAGGATGAATCAGATATGTGAGTATGTTGAAGCATCATCATCAATTGTGAATATTGATCCTTAGTGAGACCGGCACCATTGAGTCAGAGACAACCTCAGAAGAAGTATCAGATTGAGACCCTCCACCAGGAACAACAACATTAGAAGGGGAACCATGCTCCAACTCAACATGAGCAGCAGTTTTCCTTGAGGCAGTTCCCTTAGTAAACTTGAAGTTGGGAGGATACCCATGCAACTTATAGCATTTGTCAATGGTATGTCCTGGTTTCTTGCAATACTTACAGGTTGGAGGTTTAGAAGAATCAAAATTGACTCTGTAAGGGTAGACTTTCTTGGATACACCAGCATTGAATGAAGCAGAACTAGGAAGAAACTGAGGAGAAGTGGAAACTTGTCTCTGTTTTTCATCTGAGAGTAAGATGCTGTAAACAGTGCTAACAGAGGGAAAGGGTTTAATCATGAAAATGTTGCTCCTAGTCTGTATGTATGTATCATTTAAACCCATCAGAAACTGGTAGACGTTTTGGACATACCCATCCTTCTAATAATTAGACTTGGCACCACAATTACTACAAGTCCTGACTCTAGTGACTGATAAGGCAGCAATGACCCTTGTGAGATATGGGCTCACTCCTTTTTGAGTCCAAAAATTCTGGCAGCATCAGCCTGACCATATCTCTCTTCCAACTCCCCCCAAATGTCCTTGGCAAGCTCAGAGTACTCAACACTACGAGCTATGTCCTTAGACAAAGAGTTGAATAACTACGAAACCACAAAATCATTGCATCTCTGCCACTGTCTCACCAGGGGAGAGGTATCACGGGGTTTAACAAAGACTCCATTGACAAAGTCAAGTTTGTTTCTGACAGAGAGGGCCACTAAAATAGTGTGTCTCCAACTCCCATAACCAGTGCCATCAAATGGCACTAAAACTAAAGAGGTTCCTAGTACATCAGAAGGATGGACATATAGAGGATGACAAGGATGGGTATAGTCATCCTCATGGAAAGCAAAGCGAGAAAATACAGGTCTAGACAGGATAGGGGTAGGGGTAGACGAATTATCGTCTGACATTTTCTCAAAATATAAGGAAAAGAATATCAACAGATACTATGCATGCAATCTATAGGTAAGTAAAGTTACCAAATTCCTTCGCGAACCGGAAGGAACAACGGCCTTGTTTATTGGAGAGAACTCGATAATCCACTGATGAAGACACAATCACCAAACCCTAGCTTTGGCTTGAATTTGATGAAATTCAAAATCAGCTGAGGAAATCCATAACTTTTGATGAGATAAAGTAGAAAGTAAGAGAAAACAACAGCAAAATGCAAAATTTGACGGAAAAACTGGAAAATTCCGTCAAAATTAGTCAACCACAACGAAGAGAATCAGAAACGAAAAACTCCAACGAAAAACCTCGAGGGTAAGATCGGACGAGAGGAAATCAAGAGCTCTAACTGGATTTTAGCTCTGATACCATGTTAAGACTAAGATTCGAAGTAAAAATTGAAGATTCCATGGCTAGAGCTAGAAAGGTTCGGGGAGAGAGAATTGAGGCTTTTCTTATTACTGCTCAGAAAATGAAATAAAATATCTATTTTGTGTCTTTACAACCCATGTGGGCTTGTCTATATATATGACCCGTTCGATTGGTCCAAACACTAAACTACAACTACAACTATAACTCTGCTTAATAAATACAAAGTGGGCTTCGAGGCCCAATACAAAGAATGAGCAAAGAATCAAATAATGTGGCCCAATACTACTAACCATTTGCACTAATCTCAACAAGTATTGACATAATTAGGTTACTTAAAGTCAATTGTCTATAAATGGCTACATAAAATTGCTTATGTAAACATTTCTGGTTGACATAAACGAGGCGAGAAATAATTTGTTGTATTTTGATATTTCATAGTATTTTGATATTTCATAGAATTCAGAGTAATATTCAGGCTGAAAAAAATCCATAACTCAGGATTCTTGATTTATCACTAATGACTAAATTACATGAAGGACATGCATTTCCCCTTGTTTTTCTTTTAAATGAATATATGACATGTTTCCAAAGTTGGATTTTTCGTTTTCTTTTTGGGGTCAGTAAAAAAGAAAAGNTATATATATATATTATGCGAAATAATTTTGCAATATCAGATCACTTCAAAAATAATTAAAAAGTACATGCACTTACAATTGAATATTATATTATGATTTATGAGTGCATATTTACTTGTTCTAACAAGTCATCGACTTTATTTTCTACATTACCTGATTAGACTTATTCTAAAATGTTACTTATTGTTATAGACCATCTTAACATGATGATGTAAAATGCTAATACGAACTCATCAAATATAATAATTTATAATCTGTAGAATTAGTAAACTGATGAATAAGGAAATACATTTTATAGTAAGTCGAAATTGTACTGATTATTTAGCAAGGAGTTTTATTAGTGTCAACCATTTCACATTTGTTCTACTTCAAACACAGATATGAAGCTGGTCCAAGGAGTTCAAGAATATTAAATCTTCCAAGGAGTTAAATTGATTAACTCGTTGGCATATCCCTTCACTTGGTTTGCAACACCAGAAAATTAATTAGACAGGCACATTAAACCGATGCTTTTGTTATAGACTGTTCTCCATTGAAGTATAATTAACTAGCATAAATATTTGAACGATTATTTTGAAGGAAAAATAATCGAATAACGAAAGGAACCTTACAGGTTCTGGTTTGCCTATTCAATCACAACATACCTGGCTAAGTACAATTACTAAAAAATATGAATGTGAAGTTGCTATATGATTTCAGAAAACCTAACATAAATAACCATTAACAGGATATACTTTCGTTTCTAATGGCATGAAATGATAGGGAATAATAAGGAAATAATACTAAATAAAGGAAGTTTTATTCATGTAAACAGTCACAAAAGGAACTTCCCAAATAACACAAATATCACAAAATAACAAACATAAGCAAATAACACAAACTCGATAAAATAACATTAACATGTGAATTTCCAAAATGGCAAAATCTCAGGCACAAACCAGCAAAATGGAAAGGTGGAGACACTTGGGATCTCATTCCTCCTCGGACTCGGACTCAGCACTCTGTAACCATTCGACAAAGGGTTTGACATTCTTCCAAATTTTGGAGTCCTTGTTCCCAGCAGCACCCTTGCCGTACCACTGTACTATATATTCCTCCTCCAACACATCAGCATCATATAAAGCTTTCAAAACCAGAGCCACTTCCTTCAGAGCAACTGGGTATTTCCCACAAAATTCTTCTATAGCTCGAAGCAATCGTAGCTGTGACTCCTCGTCTTGAGAAACAGCAGCAAGGTAACTTTTCTTCTTAAGAACCTCCTTGGCAAATCCTTTCTCAACCCCATCCAACAGTGCCTCGTACAAAGCAATGATAACTTCCTGAGGAGACCCAGAGAGTGAACCCAAACAGCATTGCAATTGGCCGGCAGTAACTCCCTTTCTTATATTTGTTTTCACCTCCTCAACGAGCCTCTCATGGTTTGACTCTCCATTCTCGGTCGTAGGATTCTTAGATGGTACAGCAGCAGCTGCTTTAGGACTCTGGGCTTGAGTAGCTGCCTTGGACTTCTTCTCTGACTCAATTGTTGAAAGCATAACCATCTCAGCAGTTGCAGCATTTAGCTGTTCTTGTATACGCTGCTGAGCAGCTTCTAGTGATGTATCAGTCTGCCATTGGACGTCATCATCATCATCTTCTTCGTCCTCCTCTTCTTTCACATTAACATGGTTTCTAGGTGGTGAAGCACGATCCTCATCAGAGCCACCATGTTTCTTTTTAGAGCTAGGTTTTGCACTAGCATCTTTGGAGGAAACTTTTTTCTTTGTCTTCAGCTTCTTCTGCTCTTCATCAGCAGCCTCGCCTTCCTTCATTCGCTCCTTCTCAGCTCTTCTCATTGCCTTCTTGTCCTTGGAGCCCTTCTTAGGTTCAGGCGGGTTCTTCAGTATAAAAGTTGTGAGCTTGTCCCTCATGTCCACATTAGAAATGAAACCACATGCAGCGCATTTCAGTTGGATCATCTGAGTCTTAGTTATTATGACCTCTGTTTCAGGGTTTCCACAACCATAGCACTGCACATATTTCTTAATAAAGTTCTCAAGAAGACCAGCAAGTTTAGGAGTTTCATGAGCTCCATTGACAAGTGCAGTTCCAGTTCTTTCATCAAATTTTGACTGAGCCCCAAGCTCATTTCCAAAATATTTTGTAGTATAGGATGGGGGCCTTGCTAAAGCTTTGGCAATATCAACCATGTTCACCACATTTGTCTTGATTCCATTCCCGCGCCCCTCTATCTTGGTAATCATCCTGGGCATCTTATACCTGTAGAAGGCATCATCATTGTTGCTGGCACCAATATTCTGCAAAGCCATCTTTGATGAGATATTCCCAGATAAGTGTTAGCAATCTTCAGAGAAATATTCAGCAGAACAATTGTACAGTGTGTCGGGAGAAGGTTGTGCCTTGCAGCAACCACAGAAGTCAATGTGTTCTTCCTGTAGTGATCCGAGATGCATACAGTCAACCCAACCTGAGAAATGACGGTTCTTTTTTCTTGACGTAGGACAATACTCTCCAAGCAATCCAATGGATCCCAAATAGAAGATGGCTTGCTCGGACATAAAAGAAGTTTCACTTAGATCACTACAACTTTGAAACTCCACAAAAGTCACACAACCTGCAACTTTCAAAAAGAAGAACCACGGGTCAAATACGGGCAGAGAAACTAAAAAAAGACTACTACACTGCATTATATTAATAAATGAGAGGTAAAAAACAAAAATAGTGACAGACAGCAGATTAATCGTTAGCAGACTGTTCCACCCTTAAGATTCAAAGTTGAGTTCCTTTATGTCATAGCAGCTTGAACAATTAAAAATTCTATAAAAATTTGCAACAAATGGCAAAACCCATAAAGATGAACAAACAGATCAACAAAGGTACACCATGATAAATTAATCCGCCAAAGACCATCAACATTTCCTTGGGTCATTTATCAGTCTATATAAGCTTCTAAGTTGCATACTCCAGAAACACTTGGAAGAGAAACCCAAGATGCAAGCTTTCAAAAATTATTTGTCACCAATGCCCGAATTCTTTTTTTTTGATAAGGACCAATGCCCGAATTCTTTATACTTCTTTAAACTGAATCATCAATAGCTGGAATTTATACTTTAAAAAACAATAGAATATCTCTAGAGGGTTTTGGACTAGTGACTAACAGCAATTGAACTCGTAATTTAAAACAATTTCTGAAACCCCTTTGCTACTTCACTTGACTTTTTCCGTATGTAATGGAGATTCAACAGTTAAAGTTTTAAGTTATAATCACAATAAAATTGTATTTCTCTATTTACAGTATAATTTTTCAACAACTTCCTCCACTTAACTCCGCCACCGCATGCCATAAAGCCATCCAGTGCTTAGGTAAGACATCCTCAGCTTTAGGAAAAAAAACAGCACAAAAATAGGCAACAACTATCAAAAACAGTCTCAACTCCTCTGCCTCTCCACTCCACAGACCCTCCAAAAACCCTTAGCAAATAAAAACTATCAAATAAGCTAATTCTTTTTCAATCTACTCTGACTACAGCTTAAAACATACTCTCTCCGTCCTTTTTGTCTATCCAAATAGAATGCCGTCTTTCTATATTTAGAAACAATTTAACTTTAAACTTAGATTTTACCCTTTCTGAGAAGATTAATATAGTATATATGACTTATTTTAGACCACAAGTTTCAAAAGTTTTTCGTTCTTTCATTCTTAAATTACATGCTCAACCAATCAAACTCACACAAATGGGATGGCGCGAGTACAAAAACCAATCATCAACACCAAACTAATTGCAATCTGACATATGAACTACCATCTATATCCATTCCACACTATTTCACCTTATTTCACTCCGATTCACAAAAAAATTATCTTTTAAGCCAAATCAGGGCTCCTCTAAAGCTAGAGATCCTGTAATATCAGTTACTAAATTCTCAATAAATCAACTAAAATAAAATAGATCGGA